GTATTCAATGGGGGGGGAAGCAACAAGGGGAAGTAAGGAGGGTGATATCTATATGATATTAATAAGTGACCTTGAGCCACCAATCCAAATGGTGCTGCCCGAGGCTGAGGAGCTGCAGGAGTGTGTCCTGCTGCAGGTAGGGTGGCCTCTGTGCAAGCTATGTTTCCAGCAGTCTGCTGTGGTGGCTCTTCCTGTCAGGCACATGTGTGAGCTCTACTTAATCATCCCCCACTTGATTATTTATCTACTCACTGGTTTTTATTCATTTTGCTTTGGGTTTGATAACTTTCACAGCCAAGTCCCGAAAGTGTCCTTATGGCTGGCCCTAGGCACCTCTATGAGTGATATTTTTCCATCACAGTGACTGCCTGGCTTAGTGCCTGGGATTAATAAGATCACTCAGGGCTGTAGTGTGGCTCTGTGGTAGAGTGTTTCAGTACAATCAGAGAGAGAGAGAGAAAACACTCCAGTGTGCAGCCTTTTGTATCAGACATGGTTGGCTCAGATGTTTCTGGACCCATGTCCTGTGAGGATAGATACACAAATCCCAAACATGTCAGGAATCTGGGAGTACCAGAGATTCTTCTTGGTCTTTTAAGATGGATCTGAATAGTCCAGTCATTTATACTCTCAGATAAATATAGAATCCGTTTTTCAACTTTCACGAGAAGAAAATCTTTTGGGGCTGTGACTGTGATAAGTTTATGACATTTAATGATATCTTTATTTCTCAATGTCTCCTGTTATTATTTACACCTAAAAATTGTGTCTGTGTGTGAACTCTGCACCTTCTTAAATTCACACACATGTCCCATAGATCCTGCAGAATTTCTCATGGAGTCTATCTCATCATCTACAAACAGAAACACGTCTTCCTCCTCATCCTCATCCTCATCTTCATCTGGTACAAATTTTCCCCAGGTGACTTATAGACTTATAGACACTGCCTTCTTTTGCTGGTTGGCTGAGTTGGAGAATGAATACATGCCATTTCCACTCGATACTTTTCCTGAATCCAGCTAATGATCCCACCATGTTCTACACACTGCTGATACGTTGAACTACATTGCTAAAATGTATGAATAACAAACCAGTCCAGAGTCTTACTTCCATAAAGTGCTAGGACTTCATTTACTTATGCATTACTAGAGAGTTAATTGCAAAGGACTACAGGTACACATTGCTGACCTCTTCAGTACTTTGTGTCTGGTTTTGACATCAGGTACTACTGACCTCAAATCTGAGAAAATTTTTCTGCCCACTATATCCCTTGATTCTTGTAGTGTCTCTGTAGAGTGCATAACAGCAACTCTTTCTTAAGACTGGAAATTAATCTTCTCAAACAATCTTCAATTAGTTTATTATCACTATTGTGTGTGCACAGTGTATGGAAGGGGTGTGCCACGGTATGTGTGGCAGTTAGAGGACAACTCTGTGACATTGGTTCTTTCTGTCCATCAAGTTATTGGGTTATTATTTGGGTTACAGAGATCAAACCTGGGCTTGTAAGGCATGGTCACTTACCCACTGAGCCATCTTGTCTGCCCTTCTTCTCCTTTTATTAGTCTAAGAGTTGATAGCTTCACTGGCTTTTGCTATAGAGAAGCAAGTTTTCAGGATTTTTCCCCTGATCTTTATCATCTTCATCAGGTGACAACCTTGGGCCAACCCTGAGCTTTTGTTTTTCCACCTTGTCAAGGTAGAATAGATCACTAAACTTTAAATCTGTCTGTCCTTTCTAATGGAAGATTGGAAACTAAAATTTTTCCTTTCAACCCTACTGTATCTGCAGCCAAGAAATTTTGGTGTGTTACATTTTCCTTGGTATTGTTTAAGGTACATCCTTTATGATCTCATCCTTATTCTATGAATACTTTATAAGTGTGTTGTTAAGTCCACAGTATTTGTGGTATCTTGAGCAAAATATTGCTACCCACTTCTCACCTAATTTATTTATTAGAGAATATGCTCTGCATGATTTCAAATCTTGCGAATGTTTGAGTCTTTCATGACATATACCTGTTGAAGAGCCCGTGACACACTAGAGGATGCCACTGTTGTCATGGTGAATATGCCACATGTAATGAAAGAGCACATATAGGGTACCAATGTTGTCATAGTAAATAAGCCGCACACAGTGAAGAGGGATGTGTGATTACCTCTGTTGCCATGGTGAATTGCCACATACACAGTGAAGGAGGGTATTTAAATACCATTATTAATATGGTAAACAGGTCACATACAATGAAACAGGATGCCACTGTTGTCATGGTGATCAGTACATGCACCTTGGAGGAAGATGCATGCTTACCAGTGCTGTCTTGCTGAAGCAACCACACAATGAAAGATATGTAGATGCCTCTGTTTTCATGGTGAACATACCACAGGCTCCGGAGGAGGATACATGGACCGTGGCTGACAGGTCACACACAGCAGAGGATAATGTGAAGATGTCATGGTTGACATGGTGAACACACACACACTGAAGGAAAATGTGTGAATGTTATGGTCGCCAGGGCACATGGGATACACAGACTGAATGAAGATGTGTGGGTGCTACTCTCATTTGGATGAATAAGCCACACATTCTGGAGAGTAATGTGTAAATGCCACTGGTGTCATGGTGAACAAGCCACAGTGACTGGAGGAGGATTACATTGGTGACGCTGTTTAGTGAGATGTGATACAAGGAGTCTTGAGGCAGACTTCTTCAAATATATGGCTCTATTTCCTCATTGAATTTTGGTTGGCTGTTCTGTCTCTTGTTGAAAGAGGAAACATTGATGCCAACTGCAATTCAGGAACTGCTATTTTTCCTCTGTGTCTATCAATTTGTTCTGGTATTTTGAACCTTCTATTGGCCGCTGCTGTGCTGCCTCCCAGACGAATACAAATGTCATGTCTTGCCTGAGCCTGCGTTACTTCTGTCTTGCCCAAGCCTGTTTTCTCTTCTGCTGCTGGCTTGGTAACCTTCCTTGGCTTCTCAAGCCTTCTAATGCTGTAACGTTTTAATACAGTTTCCTCATGTTGTAGTGACTCCCAACCATAAAATTATTTTCATTGCTACTTCATATCTGTAATTTTGCTACTGTTATGAATAGTTGTGTAAATACCTAATGTGTGATCCCTGAGAAAGGGTTATTTGACCCTAAAGGAGTCACAATCCACAGGACAGGCTGAGAACCACTGGCTTACAGGGCAAGGCTGAGGGATGACTCCTCCTATAGGTCCACTTCCAGGCGCCACCTCTTATCTCTCCTACCCCCAGCTGGGTCTTTCTTTTTTCCCCCCCTCTATTGTAACAATCTCTACTTTGAAGTAGAATATTTAGATTGTTACAATGTAACTAATTTTTCACTTGGTTAGATTGTCTCTGTTTATTCTCTTTTCTTTTTCTATCTCTTTTGTGATACTATCTTGGTGTGGTTTCTGTTCTTTCCTTCCTCCTTCTCTTCCTGTGTTTGTGTTGTTATAATATTTTATTTCAAATTTAATATATTAATTAGCTTTTTTTTCCTCTTAGTGTCTTGCAGCCACCTCAGAGATTAAAAGACCCAATCTAATCACAGTCTAAGGAAAATAAAGTTGAACCAATTAGCATGAAACATCCAGAGATATCTTGTAACTCGAGGCCACCTTCCCCTCTTCTTTTATGTCACAAATGCCAAGCCTCTCACCGTGTGTCATTCATGAACTCACAAAATGTCAGACTTTTCTGTTGTAACACTCACCTTGTTTGAAGAAGTTAAAGGAAAAAAATCTTTTCTAGTTCCCCCTAAGCATAGCCTTCCTTGTTCTCGTCCTTCCTGGTGACCCAGCTTCTTTCAGAGCAGTATCCCACTAGCCTTAGAGATGTCACATGACCTTCCTTCACTTGTAGTTCACCGGGACTGTTAGTTATTCTTCAGTGCACCTGTTTTACTTTATTTAGTTTTAGAAAAGGCATCACCATGTGGCACTAGCCTCTCTGGAGCTTGACTGCTGGGCAGCCCAGGCTGTCCTCAAACATCACAGTTCTCTTTGCCCTGCCCCCCAAGCACTAGAATTACAGGTATGCACTGCCATGCTCCACTGCACCTTCGTTCTTGAATTCTATTTGCCACAGCATCCCTAGAAGGCCCTCCTCCCAGCCTTTGGGTCTGGGTCCTGGTTACAGTGCTTGTAGGGACATTGTGCCACACTCAGGGTGTCTGTAACAGCAGCCCCTTTCTTGGGAGAATCCTTTCTAAGCTGGCCTAGAGGTGACCCCCACCATGGCTCAACACCATAGGAAGCTCTCAGTCATGACCTGTATGTCAGAACCAGTGTGTACACAGGCTAAGTCTAGGGCACACATGCTCAGTGAGGTTGGACTCAAATGGGTATCCTGTAGGCTAGATACTGAATCACCCTCAGTTGAAGCTATCATTTGAGGCCCATGGACGGGAGGTCAGTCCGTGCTACTGCCTACTCCCACCAGGGTGATCAGCTGGCTCTCCAGGGATAAGTCAAAGGTGAGCAACTTTCCCAACTGCTATGGAGGGATAGGGGCCCTAGGCTTCTCACCCTAAAGCTAGGTTTCACTATATACTGGCCCGCTGATCACTAAGTACTATTGACAGGGAAAGGAGAGGTATGAGCTGGACTCTGGCTGAAGATGGGTTCAAAGGGAATCCAACTGGGCCACCACTCAGTAGTGAAGTAGTGAAGACACTACTTCAGGATAAGGTTGCCCACTCAACACCCTCCATGACTGTCTTTGCCCTATAGGCATATTGGCTATATCTCTTTTCTATCTGGCTCCCAGCCCAGGCTCCAAGAGGTCCCACTACGTCTGAAGATTCACCATGAGTCCCTACCATTGAGAACCAAATGAGTGGAGGACAGATTTCCCTATTGGATGTGTGCTTGTCTCTTCTAAAGGGTGGCCTGGCTCTAGAATCCAGCCACCTCCCCTTTGCATCAGGGAACGGGGAGAATTTGGGACATTCTTGGGAAGTCAGCCTTCTGATCTCTGGCAGGTTCTACCTCATCAGCGGAGGGGTCCCTTTCATCATCTGTGGAGTCACAGCTGCCACAAACATCAGAAATTATGGGACGGAGGATGAGGACGTGGCATAGTGAGTACTTCCTACTTGTAACCGGTTGAGAAGCTGGGAGCACTTCCCAGCTCCTCCTGTGTTCATCCCAGACCCTTACAGAATGTGCTGACTTTGTGCCCAAGGCTGGGGAGGGCAATGAAGGCGCCCACAGACATCTGTCATAATCAACCTTTGTTAGTGACTGTCCTCAAAGGTTCCTGTGGTAAGGCACTCATTCCCTTGAGATGAGCAGCAAGCCGTGGTTCTTGGGCCCCAGAAGTCCACTCAGAGTTGTGTTCCCCAGTCTCTAGGTGATCAGAAGTCCTTCTCCCAACACACTCAGCTTCCCACTGACTCTTAGACACCAAAGGCCTGCCTTTTCTATAGTCTAGGATCAGATAACAGGAGGTTAGTTGAGCATGGTATATCCCTGGAGCACAGACAGATCCAGACCCCCCCTTACAGGTACACAAAGCTCTCCATCACTCTCAGTATCCCCTCAGAACTCCCGGAAATCCAACCCTCATGCATGCCATAGTAAGCCCCATTAGAACCTGCTTCCACCCACTCCCTCCTTACCCAGGACAATATCCTGCCTCCATCAGCGGACCTCCTTGCTCCATCCACCCCAGCCTGCCTCTGTCCCATCCTGACCCTCCTCCAAAGGGCCCGCACACCAGGCTAACCAACAGCTGGCTCCAAACACCTATCCAGACTACAGTTCTGTCCCCATCAATCCAAACCTCATGGCTGACCAACAGGTCTTGGGTGCCCATTTGTTTCCTTAGTATAAAATTAAAATATTCCCATGTAAGAAAGAAACCCCATTCAGTCCCGAGGGAAGGGGAGGCAAACGTGCTAGCCACATACCGACACTTACCTGCTTCTCCCTGCAGCTGCTGGATGGCCTGGGAACCCAGCCTAGGTGCATTCTATGGGCCGGCTGCCTTCATTGCTCTGGTCACCTGTGTGTACTTCCTCTGCACCTATGCGCAGCTGCGGCGTCACCCGGAGCGCAGGTATGAGCTCCGAGAGCGCACAGAGGAGCAGCAGCGGCTGGCAGTGCCAGAGAGCGGCCATCGCCATGGAGTGCGTCCTGGCACTCCACCCACCTGTGATGCCCTGGCTGCCTCGCAGCTGCAGAATGAGCATTCCTTCAAGGCCCAGCTTCGCGCCGCGGCCTTCACACTGTTCCTATTCACAGCCACATGGACCTTTGGGGCCCTGGCTGTGTCTCAGGGCCACTTCCTGGACATGATCTTCAGCTGTCTGTATGGCGCCTTTTGCGTGACACTGGGACTCTTTGTGCTTATCCACCACTGCGCCAAGCGAGAGGACGTGTGGCAGTGCTGGTGGTCATGCTGCCCTTCTCGGGGAGATACTTCCACCACCAAGCCCAGTGCCCACCCTACACTTGATGCCAATGGGGATGCCCTGGGGCATACAGCCTGCCTACAGGATTCACCATGCCCTGGAAAACTCAGAGGTTTTGGCCATCCACCAGCCAGCCACTGCAAGATGACCAACCTGCAGGCCGCCCAGGGCCATGTCAGCTGTCTGTCACCCGCCACCCCATGCTGCGCCAAGATGCACTGTGAGCAGTTAATGGAGGAGGAGGCCCACGTACACATGGCTGAGGAGGACGCCTTCCCACACGATCCCCACCTGCACGACCCTCACCTGCACAGGTGCCTCAAGGGCAGAACTAAGCCCCACTACTTTAGCCGGCACCAGGCAGCTGCAGCTGAGAGAGAGTATGCCTACCACATCCCCTCCAGCCTAGATGGCAGTCCCCACAGCTCACGTACGGAGAGCCCCACCAGCTCTCTTGAGGGCCCAATGGGGATGCACACATTGGCCTGCTGTGCCCAGGCTGACCCCTTCCCCATGGTCAGCCAGCCTGAGGGTGGAGACACAAGCCCTGGGCTCTATGGCTGTCCCCCACACCTGTCCCCAGGCCCCACCCACTTGGAGATGCTACGAAGGACACAGTCTCTGCCTTTTGGGGGCCCCAGCCAGAATGGGCTGCTCCAGGGTGATGTTCGGGAAGGCCTGCCATTTGGCACTGATGGGACAGGGAACATCCGAACAGGACCCTGGAAAAATGAAACTACAGTGTAGCCAGGTTGGGAACACAACTCCTTCATCAGTGCCACCATGTGTCCTGAAGGAGCTTCAGAGCAGGGAGTGGCCCTTTGCCATGTGGGATTAATGAGCTGGGAGGGTCATCAAATGACCAAGTGGTTCTGAAATGGTTCACACCTCTCAACCATGATCTCCTTTATTATGAAAGAGCCCATTGGAAGAACACTGGGCCACATACACCTCTACTGGTCCCCAAGCTTACCTCCATAAGCTTGTCACCTGCATTCTGTTTATAGTACCTTCCTTTGCTGCCGGGAGGGAAGCTGGGAGGCCACCTCAGAGACTCCAGCTGGTGTTCTTGCCTTTGGTATATATTTGTTAGGTTTTACTCTAGGGACCACAGCAGTGGCCCCCCCCAGAGCTCGCTCACACTGGGCAGTTTCCTGTCCCCTGCTGTCCTTGCATTACCTCACACCTGCATCTTTACTGGGGGACCCACCTGGCACCTCACAACCTGCACCTGTATGGGACATGGCCCTGGTCTGATAGCCTGAGGTCATTTTGGGTGCTAAGGATGGGCCTGGTACAGAGCCACCAGGAGAGGAAGCAACTAATGGCTGTGGCCTTCGGGGAGCTGGCTACAGTCTCTCTGGGCCTGTACTTTTGAAAGTCAGCCACTGTCAGACTGGATTCTGTTCCAATGCGAGCATGTAGTAGTCAAGTTCTCCGTCCCACGAGGAGGGGCTAAGTGGGTGTAATGATCATCACAGATGAAGGTTTCTTATCATGGATGAAGGTTTCTTTTCCTCTTTGCCATTTTCATGAAAGTCTTGGGTACAAAGTCCCACCTCAAAGAGCATATTTCAACAATGAGCCTTTTGTAAAAGCAAGTGTCTTGTCCTAGGGGAGATCCTCACAGAAGTGAAGCCCAGAGATGCCAACCTGTGAGACTATCCACCTTTCCTCTCTAGCTTTCTCTTCCCAGACTGTAGTCCATATGCATACATATATATGTGTACACATACACACACACACACACACACAGGGATACATATGCACACATTTGTATGTACACACTCGCTTATACACATTTACAGTTACACCATGCACACCACATACATGTGCATCCACACAGCTGCTCACCACATACGTGCGTGTGCACATGCCTGCACACCACCACACATATGCACACATACTGCAGGGTCTACATACAGACACACTGGTGTTCATATCCACCCACAAACAAGGAGTGTGTATCAAAGTCCTGAGTGCTGGGTCTCTTTGCAGATGTGGGTGAGTCTGTGACTTGCTTCACAGAGCATAGCCTTCCTGATAACCGCCTCAGAGAACAGGGCATGGGGGGGGGGGGGCTCCTAGAGCAATGGAGGCGCAGCCTTTGGTGGGCAGCGCCATCTAGAGGCAGACACTCAGTATCTGAGTAAGGAGACTGGTAGACTGATCTGACATTTACAAGCTCCTCTGTGCTGTCCCTTAAAGCAGCATCCTGTACCCATCCCTCAGGTGGGTAGCCAGGGACCACCAGGCTGTTTCAGCACTTCTTTACCTGCTTGCATAGCTGATGTGTGCAGAACCCACCATGCTGTGTACGTACTGTAGATACAGACCATCCAGAGGAAAATACAGTGTTTTACATTGTTTGTCCTTGGTCAGGCTGGTCAATAGCATTCATGTGTGTGTGTTTCTCAGTCTTGACAAGGAAGAACAGTATGGGAGAGGCTTGGACCCCATCCAGGCTGCTCCCCTGGCCTAATCCCTCATCTTTTCTTCCATAGTGCCTCTGGGAGAACAGAGACACTTCTTCATTCAACCAAAGAAATTTGGCATTAAATATTGAACCTGGCTATGTTTCAACATTGATTTAGATTCATGAGACCACTTGGACCAATGCTGCAACAGAGTCCTGTTGTGTCCTGTGGGGGAGTGTAATGATTTGCAGCATATCTGCTTTTTAGAGCCCTCGACTCAGAACCAACCTCTCTTCGACTGAAACTTGTCTATGTCAACTTTACAGGCCTTCTTTTACCTTGCCCCTTCCTTCTTCCTTCATGAGAATATGCATGGCCAATGTGTCGGTGGCTGTACAGTGAGTGTGGATGCATGCTGTATCCTGTGAGTTGTGAGTGGGTGTCGTCAGAGTCATGTTGCATGTCCATCTGTGTGACGTGTGTGTGTGTGTGTGTGTGTGTGTGTGAGAGAGCTTTTCACAAAGGTAGCATCACACACACACTAGCCTCCCTGCACAGGTAAGTATTTCATGAAGCTATATCCTCAGCACAGAGATGTATGTTATGACAACTTTAATCACCTCAGCAGTGATTCTAACTATGGAGGCTCTGCCTGTCTGGAGACTGGCAGTGTCTGCTCTGTCTCCCACGAGGGCACTCCACAGCCAGACAATCTCACGTCTGCCTGCTGAGGTGTCGGCACTGCCTAGGCAGATCAAGGACACCTCTCAGATCTATGAATGAGTCACCTCTTCAGGGGCTTTGAGCAGCTGAGAGGCCCCTGGAGCTACCAGAAAGAAGCTGAGATGGGATCTACACTCCACCTGCCTGAAACAGGCAGGCAAGACTGAAACATGGGAAGACAAGGGAGACTCTGGGCCCCATCTTCAAAGGAAAGTCAGCTTAGAGGATGGAAGGAGGCTGTCAGGGCTGTGGGTCAAGGCGGAGCCTTGGCTGGAGACCTGTGCATGGATCCTTCTGCAGGAGCAGGTAACCCTACATATTTCTTAGTAGTTCCTGGCAAAGGCATCCCTAATGGTGGCTGTGCTGTAGGCAGGCTGCCAAGTCCTACCACCTGTCCCCTGACTCTCACTGTTTCTGGATAGATGCTGCAGGCCTCAGCCTACAGTAGGCTCTGCGATCAACAGATCCCTCTGCAAGGGTCACAACCCCCAGGGCAGCCCCTGTCATACTTACCCCTTCATGTTGTTGTTAGAGTTTACATTTAAGGACAGTGACCTGGGAAACACCTTCATTCTATGATTTACTATCCTCTATAATGTCACCTGTTACTATTACAACTGGGACCAAAGAGTGCATCCTGGAAAACAAAGTATTTGAAGTCCTATGACCACAATGGAGCCCAGTTCTGCATCTGCAACTAAGGCTAGAGACAAAAGAGACAGGAGAACACTGGACATGTGGCTTAGGCAGAGGCTGGGCGCAGTGGGGCTCCTGGGATAGAAGACAGAGAAACCAGGTGAGTGACCCGATCTCTGGGACAAATGAGTGGTCACCTGGGTGCTTTGGTTAACCAGGAGGATGGATAGAGCAGGAAGGTCATGAGATCCAGGCATGAGAGAGAAGGAAGTCCCTGGGGTCACCTGGTAAAGGATGTCTTCACAGTGACTTAGTCAGACTACCTCAAGTATCAAATGAACCAAAGAACCAGTTTTTATCTCATGCCTCTTTGGACTGGCCTCTGTGATCCCAGACAGGAAGTTTAAACAGAGCTAATACCCAGATAGTCAATTCCCACTACTCTGGGACTACTGTCCAGGCCTTCTATGGCTGTATGCCACATTCCCTCCACTCAAGACCTAGACAGGCACTGGACGCCTCCATCCCAGGGTGTCCCAGGGGGTCATCTGGGATGATGGGCCCCTGTCTCACTCCTCACCTACTACTGATATGGGTACTTAGAGATATAATGTTAAGTTCCTTTTGATTCCAGTCTCCATTATTTGATTCTGCATAAATATCAACACGATTGTGATACCACATTCCTGTCTCCACAACCCAAGCTGCAGCCATAACTAGCTATGGCTCCTACAAGAGGAACCCAGCAGCCAGGCCTGTGAATCAGTTCCCATGGCTGTTTCAACCAGACAGTGACTTGTAAGACAATTGACTCAGAGAAAAGGCTTGGTTTGACCTACAGTTTGGAGGATCTAGTCCAGGACCAGGAGACCATGGCTTTGGGTCCATGGTGGGGGTACCAAATAGTGACGAAAGACACGATGGGAAGCATAGGGAAGAGCAAGCAGCTTAGATCACACCAGGAAGGATCAGACACCCACAATCCCTCTTAACAGCCTGTCCAATGACTTAAAGGCTTCTCATCCCACAAAGATCCCTCTTAAAGGTGCATAGCACCTCCCCCCAACAGCACTGCCTTGGGAAACAAGCCTTGACACATGGACTTCTAAGCATATCACAGCAAGGACACAACAGTGAGACATACAGAAGGCAGGCCCTTCCCTGACAGCCGATGTCCTTGGCCTGTCCTCGGACCAGATCCACCTGCCTGAAAGGGGGTGGTGGTGGAAAGAGCTGACTCACCAGGGAGAGCTGGAGGAGTCCTCATGCCTGTGTCTCGGTTTAGAGAGGACTCCTGGCCCTGTCTCAGGAACATATCCTCGTGTACCCAGACTCCCAGAAAGAGAGGCATTCTAGTGAATTATTGTGGGAAAGTGTGTCAGGGAGGATGCTGACAGGGCAAGGAGACATGGCCTGCACAGGGGAGGATGGGTGTAACCAACAGAATTCACCTTTCTTGTTCCCTGGGATTGTGAGTGCTCTTCACTAGTATATTCAGAAAAGCACTGAAGTACTACGGGATAGGTAAGTGCTGTGTGACATTTGTATTATAGGAAACAGTGAGTGCAGCCACCGCCTTGGGAAGGTGATCCCTGAGGTCTCTGAATTGTCATCGTCTGTATCACCTCAATGTAGGCTTAGATTTTTTCAGAACCTATTTTACTTAGGGTTCTTAAATACTTTAATCTCCTTTCTAATCCACTGGTAAGAGAAAAGAAAAGAAGGAAAAGAAGGTTAATAGGAAAAGGGTGATGTAGACCTGCTTAGAAGTAGTTCCTTGGGGCAGTTTCATTTTTTGCTGTCAGGATACTAGCAGTCCAGGCCAATAGCAAACACTAAACACAAATCAGTAGCAGTGGCATGAACCAGCAGAAACACCAAGGTCCGCATGAGTCTGCGGAAGCAGCCAGAATCAGCTGGAACACCATCAGAAGTTCTTTGGAGAGATGCTCTCTCTATAAAGTAAAGACCAGCGAAGACCCGTGAAGACCAGCAAAGCATTGCATAGCAAATGCAAGAGCATCCTTTCATTGTTTGTGGGGTTCCGTTTATATTCCTTCTAAACATCATGCACTCTCTCTCAAGTGTCTGTTTTCAGTAAAACATCCCATGCCCTCTCACAAGAAAACTTCCAGAAAAGCATCACGTGACACAACTGAGTTGTTAGCAAAACCAGAAATTTTCACTTCACTGAGAGGGACAACATCTCCTGATTTATACTGAATTCCACAATCTGTGTCTTGAGAGGGAATCTGGGACAGAGGCTCTTTCAGGGAGGTGGCCCAGCCCAGAAGGCAGATGAGGGAAAGGCTTCTAAACAAGAACATGGTATCATTACAGTTTGGGTGACTGAATTAGGACAGGCTGGTGATCTGTATCAAACAGTCTTGTTAAAAATTTACCCAGTGACAGTTATCACAGCCTGGGAGGGAAGTCTGCAGTCAGAACTAACACGATGATGAAAGGAATGATTCTACTCTGAGCACTCAGGGTGAGGAGAAAGATAGGCAGGTGCCTGGGGTCACCAGGATGCGCTCTCTGTGCTAGTTACTAAGATTAGAAGTGAAAAGGTGCCGGGTGGTGGCGCACGCCTTTAATCTCAGCACTTGGGAGGCAGAAGCAGGCGGATTTCTGAGTTCGAGGCCAGCCTGGTCTACAGAGTGAGTTCCAGGACAGCCAGGGCTACACAGAGAAACCCTGTCTCGAAAAAAAAAAAAGAAGAAGAAGAAGAAGTGAAAAGGCTCAAACCTAACAGGTCAGAATTTCCTCCAGCAAGACTTGATAGAAATCGTGTGCTGTGGCAGGGGTGGCTTAGGGACCTGAGTCATTTGATGGTACATGATCATAGATCCCCTCAACAATTCCCCTACACTGGGAGGAGATGTGGGACACAAAAGATGAAGCTAAGGAGAGAAGCCCTTTTGCGGGCAGGTGAAGCCAGCAAAGACAGGTGGCCAAACTTACCTGTCTTCTGCGATCTTTGCTGACTACCATCCTACTATTTTTTTTTTTACAATTTTTTTTATTGGATGTTTTATTTACATTTCCTATGTTGTCCCCTTACCCCATCCCCCACCCACCCCGGAACCCCCAATCCCCTCACCCCTCCTCCTTCTTCTCTGTGGATGTAACCTCTATCTATTCCCCCCCACTCCCACCTCCCCACCCTCAAAATTCCCACCCCCTGGGGCATCCAGCCTTCATGAGGACAAGGTTCTCTTCTTCCACCTATGCCCAGCAGGGCCCTCCACTCTTACATATTCAGTTGAAGCCTTGGATCCCCCCCCCCAAGTGCTCCCAGGCTGGTGGTTTAGACCCTGGGAGCTGTGGTTGGTTGGTATTATTGTTCTCCTCATGGTGCCGCAAATCCTTTCAGCTCCTTCAGTCTTCACTCTAACTCCTCTATTGAGAAACCCATGATCAGTTCAATGGCTAGTTATGAGCATCTGCCTCTGAATATGTCAGACTCTTGAAGACCTCTGAGGAGACATCCATATCAGGCTCTTATCAGCATGCACTTCCTGACTTCCACATCAGCATCTACCTTTGGTGACTGCACATGGGATGGATACTCAGGTGGAAAGGTCTTCAGACGGCCCCTCCTTCAGTTTTTGTCCCTCGCTTTGTCTCCATATTTGCTCCCTTGAGTATTTTGTTGCTCCTTCTAAGAAGGACCGAATCACCCCCACTTGGTCTTCCTTCTTTATGGACTTCATGTAGCCTGTGAGTTGCATCTTGGGCATTTCAAGGTTCTGGGCTAATATCCAATAATCAGTGAGTGAATACCATGTGTGTTCTTTTGTGATT